GTTCCTTTTCAGAGGCCTGACACAGGCAACGAATTCATCAGCAAGGTTCGCTGACCAAGATACCGAGGTTTGGAGTATATGTAGTGTAATTCTTGATCAAGAAGTTGCAGGTGGACATGGAATATTCCCTTTTAGAGTAGAGAGCTTTTTTCAGAAATGTTTTGTGATGTGTTGGTAAGCCTGGTAATCCTCTTTAATGTCAGCATGTAAAATGTTGTTAGAAGCGTGATTCTTCTCAAGAGGAGTGCTTTTGTAAAAACAATTTGTTTTTTGCAGCCAGGTATAAAAACATGTTGATCCTAAATTGTTAACGGCGAAGATTATGCTCTAGCATCCTCTTTGTGAAATCAATCTTTTTACCGCTCTTTTTATTTTCTTTTATGTTTAGCTCCTCACTGCATTACTGTCTGCGCCTTGTATCCTTCTGTTTTATTGTGAAAACTTACTTTGTTTGCCCGTTTTAAATTGATCAGTGTGGGTTGATATTTAAAAAAAACATGTTGAATTTGATTGTTTGTAGCTAAGATCATGAGTACGAGCTTTTCTTCATCAGTACTAAGAGTTGCAACAATTTTTAATTGAGTAATCTGAGTTTGTTCAAGAGTTTTAAGTCAACGCATACGATCTTTGGTTGTAGTAGGGGAAAAAAAACAAAAAAGAAGGGAGAAATTCTAAATTGATGGGTTCTTGAAAGCTTAAAAAACCACTGCTAATTAAAAGAGGGGTCTATACACCTTTGAGAGCAGGACAAAAATAAAACAGAAAAGACTCGATCGCTCCTAACAATCCCCAAAACAAAATTTAAGGAAAAAAAACTATATTCGTAAATTAAGAAACATATGTAGACTTGGAGAGCACATTTGTAAATGGAATAGATTTGAGGGACGCTCAGATCAAGGAAGGAATAGAATAGCCGAATTGAATAGGAACTGGCTGGTTAGTCCCACATCGCCCAAGTTGAAGAGTTTACGAGCTTGAGATGCAAAAATTGAATAGGAACTGGCTGGTTAGTCCCACATCGCCCAAGTTGAAGAGTTTACGAGCTTGAGATGCAAATAAATAGAGGCAGTGGGCTGGCTGAGATCCATACTTACCTGGACGGGGTCTTTGGGTGATCAAGGAGGCCCAGGCCTAGTTCAGTGGCCCACATTGCACGTTGTGGGTGGGACGGGGTCTTTGGGTGATCAAGGAGGCCCAGGCCTAGTTCAGTGGCCCACATTGCACGTTGTGGGTGCGCTGAGCTACCATCTCCCCAAGTGGGAGAGTGGACGTCATTATTTGTTGCTGAGGGGGTACGCGCACGCGCGGCCCCTGCCAAATCTAAAACTAAGTGTTTGCTGTTATATTCTTCATTTGCGTTCTAAGTTCTTCTAAATTTTGATCTGGGATGTGGCAACGAAAATAGGGATTTGGAGTATTGGTATAATTTTTATTCCATGTCATTATTTATAATTTTTATGATTTATGTGATTATTTGTTTTTAGGTTATGTGGATTGTGATAATTGTGTATTATTGACTTATTCGTGGTTAAATTTATGTTATATTATAATTAATTATTTTTATTAATAGCAATTAAATAAAATTTTCATTCTTTGAGAATTGAATTACTTTGCTTGTCTTGGATATTGTATATTCTTTTAAAAATTTATAGTAGGGAATACGTTACTAGTTTAGGTCATGTTCTCTCTCTTTGGTGTAAAATATAACAATTAGTATACGGATCTTCTCTTATACCCGATGAATATTTAATTTTTTTGCGGATATGATTATGATTTTTTTCTTACTAAAGAAAATTTGTGCATATATATGTATCCCGCTTTTAGAAAGTGAATATAAATATCATATATGAAGTGTACCCGAATTCATTTGCAACTCTAAAGATGAGCAGTCTTTTCTTATTTTCTGAGCTAGATCAAGTTAGCACTTGATTGTAGATCTGTGCCTAAGGAAGTTGAGAATCCTGAGAATAAATACGGGTGAATTTCACAAAACCGACCCTAGATTTGAGTATCTAAAATGAGCTCTTTAACTTTTAAAATGGCATGAAACTTCCCTTTAACTATTGGGATTCTCAAAAATACCCCTTAAAGTTTAAACATTTTTTTGTGAAACCCTCCCTCCTAATGGCATTGGTTTGGGTGATTTTCTAATAATTTAAAGGAGATTTTGATATTAAAGAAAACATCCGGTCATTCTAGTCCATTGATTGATAATTCATCAAAGAAATATCTACTCTCACATCATTGCATAAATCTCCACGTCTAGTAATCCTAAGATAAATGTCTCATCACTTTAGATGCTTTTCTAACAGATACTCAGGAAAGAGGGCAATCCTAAGGACAGAATCAAAAGAGTGCTTGATTCCTTAACCAATTGATTCAGTATACATTCAAATATTTCATCCAAGCTTCTTTAGGTACAAATAGCATAAGCTGCTACAAACAGTGATACCCCTATCTGGCCCACGGGCAAACTAAATAAATTATACCAATCAAATATTAGAGTACAATCGTAAAACAAATATCATTTACTACAAGCACAATGAAATAATGACTTTATTCTCCAGCAAATTGAACTCTATCAAAATATAACACACCTCACGAGATTTGGGAAGGATAGAGGGAGGAGAGAGGAAGAGAAGGAAGAAGGACAAGAGCTACATTTTTTGGAATTTGTTTGAGGTGATGATAAGATTGTTACAATCCCTTTAAATAAAGGATGAGACGGGACTTTAGGCGGGGAGAGAAGTCTATTACTCTCCTTTGTGAAATTTGAGGAGAAGATTCGCGTGCGTGTGTGTGTATATATATATATATATATATATATGGTGAGGTTCTAATAAAAACCTCATTAGCCTAAAAATTAAAAACCTATCCTAACCATCCAATCTATCTAATCCAATGGCCTACATTTTGAGTGAGAAGATGAAGAGAGAGAGAGCTAGTGAATTGTTGGAATAAATGTCATTATTATACTGAGTGCAATAAATTTTACTGCCATTAAAGAGTACAATAAATGTCATTATTATACTGAGTGCAATAAATAGGGGCAACAAACAACCAATGAATCCAGATTCACTCTAATAAAAACATCCTTAGCCTAAAAACTAAAAACCATTGTGGGTCATTGGATCTATCTCATCCAATGGTTTAGATTAGAGCTTATACTGCAGTGAATCCAGATTCAGTTATGGCAATAAATACCATTATTAAAGAGTGCAATAAATTTGTCTGCCATTAAAGAGTGCAATAAATACCATTATTCTTCAAAAAATAAACACCTCACATAACTGAATCTGGATTCACTGCAATAAATGTCATTATTCTTCAAAAAATAAACACCTCACATAACTGAATCTGAATTCACTGCAATGAATCGAGATTCACTCATACATGTCTTCGTTTTTTCAACTGGAAATCCTCACCCTATATATGAGCGAATCTAGATTCACTATAGTGAATCCAGATTCACTGCAGTGAATTCAGATTCAGTTATGTGAGGTGAAACTAGATTCGCTGGAGTGAATCTGGATTCAATCCAGTGAATATGGATTCATTGGTTGTTTGTTGCCCCTATTTATTGCACTCAGTATAATAATGACATTTATTGCACTCTTTAAATGTCATTATTATACTGAGTGCAATAAATAGGGGCAACAAACAACCAATGAATCCAGATTCACTGGAGTGAATCCAGATTCACTGGAGTGAAGAGTGCAATAAATTTTACTGCCATTAAAGAGTGCAATAAATATCATTATTATACTGAGTGCAATAAATAGGGGCAACAAACAACCAATGAATCCAGATTCACTGGAGTTAACCGAGATTCACTGTAGTGAATCTCGATTCACTACAGTGAATCCAGATTCAGTTATGTGAGGTGCAACTAGATTCGCTGGAGTGAATCTGGATTCAATCCAGTGAATCTGGATTCATTGGTTGTTTGTTGCCCCTATTTATTGCACTCAGTATAATAATGACATTTATTGCACTCTTTAATGGCATTTAGTGTAATAAATAGGTTTTTAGTTTTTAGGCTAAGAAGGTTTTTATTAGAACCTCATCGTGTGGATTGTGATAATTGTGTATTATTTATTTATTCATGATCAATTTTATATTATATTATAATTATAGTTAAATGTATGGTATTATTTTTTTTCATTTTAAATTCATTAGGATATGGGAAAAGTTGGAAAGATTTGGAATATTGCTATATTTGTTATTTCATGTGATTATTTATTTTTAAGTCATGTGGATACATCGCAATTTGGGTCATGTTCTAATTCTTTGGTATAAAAAATAACAATTAATATACAAATCTTTTCTTATATCCGATGCACATTTATTTTCCAACTATGTGATTAATATTCAAAATCTTACTATGTCCATGCCTCTAATATACAAACTATACCCTTTTTTTTGTGAATATGATTAGTCTTACTAATGAAAAATTGTACACATATTTGTATCCACTTTTAGAAACCGAATACAAATGTGATAAATATCATAACTAAAGCATTTCTGAATCCATTTGCGACCCTATCCGTGAGTAATCTTTTCTTATTTTCTGAGCTAGATCAACTCAGGTTTTGATTGTAGCTGTCTATGGAAGTTGAGAATCATATGAATACATAGGGTGAATTTCAAAAATCCACCCTAGAATTGAGCAGTTCTCAAATATCGAGTCCTTCGAAATGTCATTTCTTGTGAAACCCTCCCTCCCACCAGCATAGCCCTGGGTGATTTTCTATCAATTTAATGGAGATTTTGGCATTAATGAAAACATCCGGTCATTCTAATCCATTGCCTTAATAATAATTCATTAAATAAATTTCTACCCTCACATCATTGCATAAATCTCCACCCCAACCACTCCGAATATAAACATCTCCCATAACAGAATCAAAAGAGTATTTTCTTAAGCAATTGATTCAATACAAAACATTCATATATTTCACCAGAAGTTTCTTCAGGTCCAAATGGCATAAGCTGCTACAAACGGCAATGCCCCTAACTCCCCCAAGGACAAATTGAATACATTATTACCGATTGAAAATTGGAGTACAATGGTATAAGCAATATCATTTATTACAAGCACAATGAATTAATGACTTCATTCTCCAGCAAATTGAACTTTATCAAAAATATAACACACCTCACGGGACAACACTCCACGTCTTTCCCTTAAAAGGTACTACTTTGGACAAAGATGATTTGAGGGTAGCATTCATCAGTTCAGGCTACAAACACAGAGCCTCTTCCCTCCCAAAGAAATATAATTATAGTACAAATCTACGCCTGCAAGATGCTAGAGTATTTGGATCCAAGGAACAGCCTCTGGACGCAAAGCAGAGCGTTCTTAGTTACCTCGGAGTTCTCATGGTTCATGAGCTTCATCACCCGCTCCTTTGCCTTGAGATCTCTGACGACAATACGACCACCAGGATGATACTGCATGAACTGAGAGAGATCGTAGCAAGCGACAGCGAGGGCTGTTGGATCATTTGATGTGTCCATGATTGTGACAAGAACGCGCAAAATCTGCAACAGAATGTAGCAGATAGTTATTTAATGAAGTTTCTCAGGTAACAAAATATATATTTGCTAGTCAGGTACCTTATGGGTAGAAGAAAAGCATTGTGTTTTGAAGCCAGTAAGGTATTAAAATGAAACTGGTATTTGAAAAGGGGGCTTGAGGAAGCAAAGCACAAGGGAGAAACAGAAAAGGAATGCAAAAGCTTACTAGCTCAGGGCACAGCGAGCTTCTTTCCTAGACTCCTACTCCATCGTCGTCAAGAATCCTAATTCACATCCTAAGAAGACTAGTAATTATAGTTTTTTGTTTATCAATATTTCTATCCAAAACTATTACAAGGATAATAAAGCCTCTATCCCAACCATCCTTGGTCACCATAAACTCAGAAGTTTTCTCGATTAAATATGAGAACTAATAGGGAAAATTTATAGTTCAAAAGCTATGAGAGCCCATACAAGGGATTAAATAGAAGCTTAGTTGAAATGAAAAGATAAAAGGAAGATCAAAAGCCAGACACTGATAGCCCCAGAAAGAACAGCTGTTGCCAAGCAGTAGAATTTCAGAAGAAAACATTTGTCTTGATTAATGGCAATTCCTTGACTACCAGGTAACAGTAAATACGCTGAAATACAGGTAAAATGCTAATAGGCTATGCACTTCGTTTTATCAACCAACCATAAGTAAAAGCTATTACAAGCAAAAGAAAACTTCAAAACTCCCCCAAAGCTGAATGACGTGTCTTGAAATTTCCATACCACCCATGAAAATTTAGAGATGCGGAGCAGGTCCGATAGAACCATTATCAGAAATTCAAGATAAACACCATAGTTTTACACATCACAATGGTGTCACCCATGGAACATGACAGAACAAAGTCGAAAAACCCAGGCGAGTAATTGATCAAGGTGCTATATGCCTGCCAACTGATGGACCCTCTTAGTGGAGCCAATTTTTCAGCTAGGAAACAAAAAAGCAAAAGAGGCTCGCTATAAATATTCAAGCTCAGTTGGCAGGTAAATGCCCTGGACCAAATTTGTTATAGTTATTCAGTTAAGAATCATCTAACCGAGTAGGAGCCACCACATTTTCCTATACTAGGCAACATACAAGACAAAGAGAGAGAACATGAACTACACAGATAAAATAAAGCATACTTCTCTGACAAAATACTAACCTTCCTGAGAAGACAGAAAACAAAATAGAATTTAAGAACCATATCTGGAAATCATTTTCTTCGAACTTCGTAATGAGAATTTAAGAACCATACCTGGAAATCATTTTCTTCGAACTTTGTAATGAGAATTTAAGAACCATACCTGGAAATCATTTTCTTCGAACTTTGTAATGTTCTCACGCCAGAATCCTGGATCCTTGTGCATAGGAGACCAGTCTAGATGACCCAAAAGGACCTCTTGCTTATATTTATCAAAAGAGCTTAATCTTTTAATGTTATCTTTGAGGCCCTCTTCGAGTTGATTCAGTGCTTCCAACAAATCCTACATACCAAATGAGAAATCTAGAATGTTAAATGCTTCTTAAGTGAACCAACTTTAAGAAGAAAGAACTACGAAGAATCAGGAAAAAAAATATACACAGAAAATCATCTGAAGTTGTTGAGAAGAAAATTTTCTATGTAAATGAGCTAAATATTCATGTGGCTAAATAACTAGCTAGATAAACTAGCTAGTTGCCGATAGAAATAGGTAATTAGCTCTAAGAAAGTTAAGTGTAATTTTAGTACTATAAACTGTAGCTCAGCATAGAAGGAAGATGATGATAAAGTGGATTATCTCTAAAATTGGTAGTCTAATAGAGTTCTACATTTTCTCCTATTGCATCAAAAACTATATACTACAAACTATGAACCTTAAGACACTAGCTAAAACACACTAGAAGCTGACTCTGCATGTACAATGTCAACAAACGTAGAGGATAGACCATAAAGACCCCAGTACAGTAGCAATCCTAAGTTCCTCCCCGTTAAAAGTTGTGCATTTCCATTAGATAGGACAAACCTCATCACTCCAGGCCTGTGCTTTTAGACTCTGGACAATTTGTGGTAATCCAAGATCAACCATTTGCGCCCCAAAGGCCCCTTTTGAAAGCAGATTTTTGAAGGTCAAAATGACCACCCTCACAACCTACAGCAAATCAACAGGTTTAAAATCTTCACTCCAAAAAATAATATAAGTGAAAGTAGGGAAACTAAATAGCTTAAAAAGAAACACTTCACAAACTCCACCTTTTCTTTAGTGGAACCTTTGACAACATCCACAAGTCTCGGCAGGACTCTAGTAGTGGAGAGATAGTCTACTGCTGCCTCATAATAGGACAAGAGCCAAACACAGAGGCATGTTTCATAAAGAAGCTGCAAGACAACGGTAATGTTAATTTCAGGTAATGATACACAAATTATTTATTGAAAATATGGTTTCACCTAGAGCAATGATTATGCCTGAGTTGTGCAAAATACATGAAAATAAAAATAATCATGTATGAATAGAAAGCAGCGAAGGAAACCCACTAAATCAACTAAAGCCTATCACAGGCTTTGAAGATGTGAAAAGGAAGCTACCTACTTTGACCTATTTTGAATGGTTGCCAATATCTCAATGGAAATATTGGAAGCCATTGGACATGTTTCTAGGGCTCTATCATGTGCTTTCTTAAGTACTAAGGTTCATGTATTGATCCCAAAAGCCTGTCCGCCATAAACTTTGATCATCATTACAAAGATGCATTATTCAATATGAAATGTGCTAAGAATCAAAATTACATCACCTGGATAGACTGTTGAGTGGATGCTGGAGAAATCAAAGGAATGAGCAATTTCACACCATCTGCTTGCACAAACGAAGCTCTAACACTAGATTCCCTCAGCAAAGTAGATAGACATGTGATAGCCGTTGGGACAGAACGACTGGGATGAGATGGATTCCTCAACTGCATATATAATGTATAAGCAAAATTACCAAAAGAGTACTCAAGCAGTAGACTAAATTCCGGATGGTCTAGACATGTGAGTGCATGTTGTACTCTAGATGTACTTCTTAATCCAATTTGATGCGAACAAAATTCAAATTTATGTGAATTATTTCTGTTGTGAATAATCTAATTAATGCATAATTCATAACATAAAAAAATCGGGATTAACAACTTTAAATCAGCATGAACACCTCCAAGTAGTTGACACTAAAAATGTATAAATATCAATCAGTTAGAAGATACAACAAAAACAACAACAAACAACAACAAAACCTGTACCCAAATTTTCGGGCTGGCTATAAGAATCCTATTCTTCCGTCATTTTTATCAATCAATTAGAAGATGAAATTCCATAAAGTTGGTCAAAGCGTTCCCAGGAGAAAGCCGTGTCATGAAAGTTGAAGCAAGGCCAATCAATTGCCTATAGCAATCAATATATTACACACAATATAACTTGCATTTATTCAGCATGTTTATCAGAAAGAAAAAGTAATCAACCAATGAGAAAATGAGAAAATAGCTTAATCATAAGATGTGCAGGCTAAATGGAGCAAATAACTAAGCAAGATATAATAATGATAAGTCTCACTCACAACATGCCGTTCAGAAGCAAAAGACTCAGTAGTTCGCCAAAAGATTCTTAAGTGGCGTTGTCTCACCACAACAAAAATAAACAATACAATGCAACATCAATCAAATTTGATAACCCCAAGCAATTGGAGTAGTTAAAATATGAAATCTACCAACAAAATGAAAGAGCGAGCCCCTAGAGATATACCATCAGTACAATAAAACTGAAAACACTTGGGGCATCATAAGCACATTTCTAGTGCACATGCATCATTAATGCAGAAGGGTTCTCTTCTGCGACAACAAGGAGTACCCAGAACCCAACTTGAGCATTAGGTCAAAGTCAATATTGGAAACATTTTCAAGTGAGTTTCACCACACATTAGTTATTTATCAACATTAACTCAGTAAACCTTGCTAATGATGATGAACACCATTATCAAGAAAGGGAACACTGAAAATGATCAAACACTCAAAAAAGCATTTGAAAAAGAATAGACAAGGGATTGCTTGAAAAAAAATGAAACGGATAAATGCAGCCTTCATTCTCATAATATGAGAAAATAATTTGCGTGCACATTCAAATGGCAGCTAGTCTTCACTATAAGCTCACATGAACATGATAATCAGTTTTAAACTCGTTTCAGAAATGATGTAAGTGCTAATTCATCACTCCATGTATGTTTGATTAAAATGACAAAAAAATACTGTTAAGCATATTAATATTGCTTCTTGGAGAAATGCAAACCTGTGAACATAACCATTCAACCAAGCTATTCAACACATCATTAGTAGATGTAAATGTGCTCTTTGAATTTGTAGCTTCTCCATTTGAAACAATACCCTCATGTGGTTTAGGTCGAACACTGCAAGCATAAAATTCTTCAGTTAAACTGGGTATTGGCTCAATGAACATCAAATTTGATGGTTTCAATTACCTCACTATGAGGGACAATATTTTACAACTCTTTTCTTGTATGAACCAATTCCCCTTCCAAAGCAATCTGAAGAAGATGAGTAAACATAAATCAGCTTACAGATAAATGTGAAAATACCAAACTAAAAGAACCAACAAGCACCAATAGGATGGCATATCATGTGAAGCTTGCAAAAGTAGAATACAAATCAATCGCCTGAAGTTATGAATGAGGCAATCTGTCTTATAGAAAGACCAACACAAACGTAAGGTTTTATATGACCAGGAACTTGAGTGATTAAATGAACAACATCAAAGTAGAGTGCGGAGAGGGAAAATCCAATGACAAATTATAAGTAGAATTAGAATCATCAGAACTCCAAAATTTTAGAAATACTAATACCCTGAGGCAAGCTATATGCCAGTAACATGTGGCATGAACACAGATCTGAGAGCACATATAACAATGAGTACATAAATAGGGAGATATGGTATCATAAAAACAATCATAAAAACACAGTAGATATAGATGGCATGAACCAAGAAACAAGACGTTCTGTGTGTAATAGCCACAAACTTTTTAATGCTAATATCAGCCACTGATTTTTGAAAGGATGCCTTAAACACAAAAACTAATGTTAGAATAACACGATCTACAAATATTTGAATAAAATTATCATTTTTAGCTCTTGGTTTTTTTTCCCTCCATCTTCACAAAGAAAAACATACTATATGTCACCCTATATATCCAGCATATTCTTAACTGCACATTTACATTCTTAAAGAAATAGATCCAAAATAAGCTGAATTTCATAGACTTTATAGCATTAACATGAAAATAGAAGAATGATCATATGCATCCAAATGCACTACATGAATATAAATATGCTTGAAGTGTTTTTTTATCTGTACAATTTCAATTAAAACTTGAAAAGTTACAAATTCAGGATGTATATAAGAATATCCACCATTTGTTAAGGAGTGTCCAACAAGTTTACTATGTATGTTTCTCCAAAATGGACACAATTTCATGGTAAAAAATGTCCATGATATGGTTCTATATAGAGTAGCAGTACGCATTTTTAACGAACTATATCTAAAAGAAAATAAATGGAAAACAATACAAACAATGCGTTTATATCAAGAACTTACTTCAAGAAAGGTTCATAAGTGTCTGTACTTGACAGTGAACTGTCATGAAACAGCCTAGCGCGTTTGGGATTTGCTGCGAAGGAAAAAGGAAGTGTGTCAAACATGTTGATACTAGTGTTTGAACAGACTTCTATCAGTTTTGTCTAATGAACTCTACCTGTGAGCATTTCATCAATAAGGGCAAGGACATATTCTAATGTTTCCTCCTTGGAAATGTCGCGCAAAATGTTCACAAAAACCCTAACATATGCAGGCCCCTCCTGCAAAAATATAAAAACCATGAGACTGAAACAATAAGATAGGAAATATGCCAGTTTTTTCAACCAAAATAAAGATCCATTCTCACGACTCATAATGGTTTGAAAGACCATATTAAGATTAGAAATCAATTAGAGAGATTACTTGATGATAAGAGTTAGCTACTCCACATTGAGCTAGACTACTATTGATACTATTCAATACATCAAACTATCAATCCAAATCTAGAATTTGGATTCCCAAATTGAAAATATGTACGGTTGCATGTGATGTAATATACATGAACTACCTAGAACTAAAAATTTAAAATGATTTTGATGGCATCTTAATCATGTATCTGAGGGGCAAAAAGTTTAGCAAAATTTATGAAAATTCTAAAACCCCGTTTTGACAACATGAAATAAAAAGCCAAAACATATTCAATCCCTCCAAATTTTATTTCTAGATAGTTGATCTGCATTAGAATTCTAGACAGTTGATGGTGTTCTCAAATCCAAGTTGTAAGTTCCGATCAATAGTGACCACATTGTGGATACCAATAATAGTAGCAAAGCTCAACTCTAAATATTCCATGATAATTGTGCGGCCGACAAATCAAAACAATCAAACTCCAAAGTACTTAATACAAAAATTCGTAAAAAAAAAACATTTTTACGGCAAGACGAAGGATAATACTCACATCCTCGAGCAGCGCAGCTCGCTGGCTCTCAGATTTGTGATCGTATCGCCTCAACAGCTGCAAGCAAGTCCCAGTGATGAGCTTGGTCGTCATGTAAGCCTCCCATGGTATATCCCTCTTCAAAACCTAGAAAGTTCAGATCAAAAATCCTCATCAGAACCAAACAAAATCCAGCCCCAAACTTTGCCTTCAAAAGAGAAATAAGTAGATCACTAACTAACCTCCTCAGTCGTCAATTCTCCACGATCCATCGAAATCAAATACCTCTACTGAAAAATACAACAAAAATGGGAGAATTTCAGCACAAGATCGAAACTTTAGAAAAGAGGGGAGATCTGAGAGAGGGTTGGCGCATTGATCTGAGATTTGATCTTTACCGGGACCAAAATTAGGGCTAGAGATTTGGAGCGAGGATTGAAGAAGAGAGGGGACGGGGAAACGAGATTGATTGGGTGTGATTCCTTTTATACACGGGATCCAATATTTTGTGGTTGCTTTTTATATAAAATCTGGACCAATGTGTGTCGAGTCGGATTTATTCCGAAACTTTCTGGGGGCTGATTTGTTTGGATCTGGTGTGGTGAGATTCATCGCGGGTGCAATCTAAGGTTAAGGTGTAGCCAAAGTTGGCTTTTGTTTTTGCATCACCGAAAAAAAATTGAGTCTTTTTCGGAAAACGGCAGCAAAATTCCAAAATAATGAAAATAAGTCACAAATTCATTTGAGATGACGATTCAATCCCAAGCCTCTCAAGAAGAAAAGTAAAACAGGCTAGATATCATTAAACCCCCCTCAACTCTGGATGATTACCAAAGAACTCTCTTAACTTTCAAAATATTAGGAAAATCACCTTAAGTTTAGGGGTTATTTGAAAACCTTATTTAACTTTGAGATTTTATCAGAAAACCCCCTAAACCCCTAATTTAGGTAGGTTTTCTGATAAGCAGGGGGATTCTAATAAAATATCAAAGTTAAAGGAGTTTTTCTGATAAAATTTAAAAGTTAAAGGTTTTTTTGCTAATCATCCAAAGTTTTGTGTGTGTGCGTGTGGGGGGGGGGGGGGGGGAGAGGAGGAGAGTGGAGGGTGAGTTTATGATATTTACGAAAAAATACTGAGGAAAAAAATTGAGACCAAGAAAACCAAGATCAGACTAAGAGACTCCTGTTGTCATCATCTTCGCTCCGCTCTCCAGGAAATGAGAGAATGGTTAGGATTTTCTTGCTATCCATTTACAAGATGGGCTATTTAAATTTTAGTCCCTTATATCTTCAATAATTCCCTATTAGTCCATCAAATTAAATCTTAATAATTGCTCATTAGCTCCTCAAGTCCTAGTGTTATTGCCATTTGGTCCCTCAATGACCAAAATACCCTTAGCTAATTTTTTTAAAGGGTTATTTGTAATTTGGCAATCTAAAGTTTACACCTTTTTTAACTTTGATACTCCAAAGGTTTTTAACATTTCGATGTCCCCATAATTTATATTTTTTTTAATTTTGATACCCCAAACTTTTATCACACTTTGATACCCCAACGTTCAAACGTCTTTTAACTTTCATCATCCCCTAAAAATTCTAATATTTTAACTTTGATTACTCAAAATTTACGCACTTTTAGCTTGGGAAAAATGTTTCTACCCCCAAAAATTAAAAAGCAAATTCTCCGCCCCTAAGACTTAGTCAACAAGCCAAGTCCGCTGAAATTAACTTTGTTTTGCTTCTAATACCCAAGCCTAGTGCCACTTAAACAATATTTTTTTCACTCCCCACTATACCCCTAGTTAATGACTATGTGGACCGCGTGTTGTCTCTCTCTCTCTCTCTTCTCTTCTCATCATCTTCATCCACACTTCTCATTTCTCTCTCCCCACTTCATACCTATTACCAATAAGTTCTCATCCTACATTCTCTTTTCTTTCTCTCACTTCATGGCTGTTACCAATAAGCTCTCACCTCTCCTCTTTTTTCTCATCCCCCTCCCTCCCATCCAACTTCATATCTCTGTATCCGCTTGCCTACGCCCTCTACCATCCACCCCTCCTACCTCGTCATCTCCTTTGTCTAGGCCCACCACCCCCTCACCACCCTCAAACTCATCCCCACAATTTATGTTCTTCTCCCTCTTAATCTCCTTCGAGCCCACCATCATGCATGCACTCATATCTTCCTTCTTTTACCTCCTCCTCCTCCGGCAACATCATGAATCCACTCTCTAGCTCCCCTCCCTTCCCTTCTCCTCCTGCAACAACCCCTACCTCAGCTTCTTTAGATCCACCGTCATACATCAATCTTATATCTCCTCTTCCCTCCCTCCTCCTCCGACTTCAAATCTCAGCATCCCTCCGCTACGCTCTCTGCCATCCACTCTCTCCTACCTAATTGCCTCCCTTGTTTCCTCCGCCTAGGCCCATCACCTCTCACCGCCCTTAAACTTTTCCTCATAATTTTCTTAATTTCTCTGTTAATCTCTGAAAACTAGGGTATTGGAACGGCTAGGGCACGATCTAACAACAAACGCATAAACTTACGAGGCAATGGGATAAGCTTAACAACAAATAGTTACGCTAAACAACCGATATGAAAAAGCTTAACAATAAATGCTTAAGCTTAACAACCAACATATAAGTTTAATAACAGACATAAAATCTTAACAAATGCATGAGCTTAATAACTAATGCATTAACTTAACAACAAATGCATAAAATTAACAATATACATAAAAGCTTAATAACAAACACATAAGTTCAACAACCAATATAAGCTTAGCAACTAATATAAAAGCTTAACAACCAACACATAAGCTTAACAACTAATGAAAAACATAACAATCAATGTATAAGCTTAACAACTAATGAAAATTTTAATAACAAATGCATAAACTTAACAACTAACAAATAAGCTTAACAACTAAAGAAAAAGCTTAATAACAAATGCAAAAGCTTAACAAATCATGGTATTTAAGTTTTTTTGTCAATTGTTAATCTTATGTATTGGTTGTTAATTTGTTAATTGTTAAGCTTATGTGTTTAAGCTTATTTGTCTGTTATTAAGCTTTTTCGTTAGTTGATATGTTTATGCATTGGTTGTTAAGTTTTTCATTAGTTGTTAAGCTTATGCATTCATTGTTAAACCTATGCATTAGTTGTTCAGCTTATGTATTGGTTGTTAAGGTTTTTTATCAGTTGTTAAGTGTATGCATTTGTAAATCTTTTTTGTCAGTTGTTAAGCTTATGTGTTAGTTGTTAAGCTTAAGCATTTATTGTTGAGCTTTTTTATCAGTTGTTCATCATAACTATTGGCTGTTAAGCTTATCTCATTAGTTATTAAGTTTATATGATTGTTATTAAATCGTGTCGTACCCATCCCTGTACCCTAGTTTCGAGAGATTAAGAGAGAAATTCAAAAAATTTATGGAGACAAGGTTGAGGGCGGTGAGAGTTGATGGGACCAAGCCAAGGAGATGAGGGAGGTGATGAAGTAAGAGAGGGTGGACGGGAAAGATTGTATGGGAGGGGATTCAGAGATTTAAAGTTGGAGGAGGAGTGAAGAAAGAAGAGATTAGGGTGGATTGTATGATGGTGGACCCAAAAAAAAGTAGAAGTACAATTTGCCAGAGAAGGAGGGGGAGGGAAGTGAAGGGAGGTAGGGGCGGATGTATGATGTTGCCAGAGAAGGAGGAGGGAAGGTGTCACACCCCCACTTTCCAAAATACCGGGGAATCGGAACGTGAACAAGCCTGCGACATATTAGATTAAGGAGAAAAAAAAATAAATATTTCTCCTCAACCTAATACGCTAAGCGTCAAGCACTATATAAAGCGAAGTCACAGGTCCCCGATCACAATAGCGAGAATATAATGAACAACCCAGAAGAAAATAATACATATCATAATGAATATCATCCCAGACATAATATTCGGGTCAACATGCCCTTATAAATAATACATATCATAATGAATATCATCCCAGACATAATATTCGGGTCAACATGCCCTTATACAAAACTGAACAAATAAAATAATAATGAATATCATCCCAGACATAATATTCGGGTCAACATGCCCTTATACAAAACTGAACAAATAAAATACTAAAGAATATATAATACACTGATCAAATGAAAATGGAAGGTAGTACAAAAGAAAACTGAGGACCAATAACTAAGCTTCGGCTTCTTCTTCTGTTCCGTCTGCAAGGCACTCCTGCTGAGAATATCCTGGCTCTGGCGTTGTAGGTGTAAATTTTGATCTCCCGAAACAGGGATTTCGTTTGTATTGATAAGAATAGCTTATTACAAACTAATGAATCGAAATTATAACAGAAGCGGAGGGAATGCCCTCCTTGTTTAACATGGGGTCTTTGGTAGCTATAGGATGCCTCACTCGGTTCTCGCGTCGAGTTTGCTTCCCTTGGACGATCCGATCGAAGTTGCGGGCAAGCTTCAGTACGCAGTAGAAGCTTGTGCTGATCGAGTTTGACTATACCCGAGGCCAAACGGGGGGTTTATGCTTGTCGACTGACTGCTTGGAGAGAGCTATCATGCAAGAGCTTGCAAAGAGCCTAAGAGCCTCAAGTCTGAGAGTTCAGACGAGTCTCTTCAAATGAGGGAGCCTTTAGCAAATGAGCCAAGGTTCAACCTTTGGAAGATTAGCCAACCAAGCAAGCAGCAGCCAATCAACCTCTTTCACGTTGACTGAAAGTGACTTTAAATAGGCAAGGGATGGCATGGGTCACCCCTTGATTTGTGGGATTTGACCACTAGTAGGGGTGAGGGAGCCAGCCGCCATAGCTGTGAGATGTGACCACTTAGGAGGTCCTGTCAGCCGTCCTATTCTTGCTAGGTGTGGATCGCCATGCTTTCTCCCTTGATTCGTGGGATTTGACCACTGACGTGACTGTTACCATACTCCAAGTGGGCAGCTGACAATGCTGGCGGGTTTCTAGTTGTTAGGCGAGCTTAGTCCGCGCAGGCAAGGTGCAGACGAATCTCATTCAGGCGAGCTTCAATGCTGTTAGGCTGGCTCTATCCTTACAGACGGACTTCCTTGCAGGCGAGCTTCAGCCTTTATAGGCGAGCTTGGTTCAATGTGCAGGCGAAGCTGTGCAGGCGAGGCTGTGCAGGCGAATCTTATTCAGGCAAGCTTCAATGTTGTTAGGCGAGCTATATCCTTGCAGACAGACTTCCTTGCAGGCGAGCTTCAGCCTTTACATGCGAGCTTTAGCCTTTAGGCGAGCTACTGAACATGCTTCGAAGAATAGGCCATAACTTTTAAGCCGTAAGTCGGAATTTGACGAATTATATATGAAAATCAACTATCTCGACGAGACGAGGCCAACCAAACCCCCATAAGGGGTTTGCCACCTCCATTTTTTCAAATTTCTTATGGTTTGAGAGATATCAGCGTTTTTCCCCTTTTTGCTCTTTCGGATGAGGTTTTAGCAATCTTATTTTGAACTTCTCTGATAGGGATAAAGATAATTTTTATTGTCTACAGAACCCCCTCCAAAGTTTTTCAGGCCTGAATCAGGCCGCATGGGGTCTGGAACACTTTGGATATGAAGACCTGTAAAGTGATCATTGCTCAGATGGAGCGAGGCACCTTCCAATCGAACTCGGCGAGATTGAATTAGGATTTTTAGCAAACCCTGATGAGGGATTGTGCCTCGAGACGAGCGAGAGCTTTTCGTCGCCGTTGTTTGGATCTTTTTGAACGAGGAACGTTCATGTTGACGGCGGAGGCGTAGTCTGCGTCGACACGAATGGTTGATTCCTCTTGCACATGGGTCTGCGAGGATCGCAAATCTCCCCTCTCTCTCAAATCTCCCCGTGATCTCCTCTATCTCTCTTCTCTCTGTCACAAACTCTCTCTCCCCTCTCTCCGTGCTCTCCTCTCTGTCACAAACTCTCTCTCTCTCTCCCCTCTCTCCGTGCTCTCCTCTCTGTCACAAACTCTCTCTCTCTCTCTCTCTCCTCTCTCTCTCTCTCTCAAACTTTGTCCACCGATCACAATAGAGACTGTTCATTGGGGATGATGACCACAGTAGACAACTTTGTCCCGTGATTTCTCCTCTCCCCCGTGACCACTTCGACGCCACCGCGACAACTCCGCCGTGATCTCCCGTGAACGCTCTCTCAAACTCTGGCTTCTTGGCTATGACTGTGACCGCCGCCGTCCTTGCCTTCCGACAGTGCCGCAACCTCCTTCCTCTGACACCGCCTCGAACGAGCAACAATGGAAGCCTATTCTACTCAAGAAGTCATCTTGTCGGAGGCCGCCTCCTCGAGCGAGCAATAATTGTCGATAACAGTGCCTCTAGTTGAAAAGGTAATAAATGTTACATGTGCTTAATTTTATTTTGGGATAGAACTTTTGATTAATGTTTAATTGGAGGAAATATTGGATTTTGAATGAATTTATATCTAAATAATATATGCTAGCAAATATTAGTTAGGTTTTATGTAGAATAATATTAGTCATCTTGTCCAATGCTTCACCTTCGTTCAACCACCTTACGAAGTCCACAAATGCAATGTCCATATGCTGCTTCATGCTCCAAGTCATCAATATAATACATTACTCCGAAGGTGGGTCTCAAATTTTTTTTTTTGATCAAATGGTGGGTCTCAATTTGAAATTCAACTAAAAGGCAACTTGACATTTCGCCCTAGAGTTGACATTGACATAAAGATCTTCTCTACACGTGTGACTAATTGTAACTGTATGCACTAGGGAAGATAAGTCCCAGATTAGCGAAAGCCAGGGAAGATGAATATCTCTTTGCTCCAGTAGACACATTGGCATTTCAACAGCTTAACTACTAGACATCAAGAGCTTCCCTCCTACGGTTTGCTGTGAAGCTAGCATAAGCAGCATGCAGATAATTAAGCACGCCGCAAAAATTTAATTTATATGTGTTTGATTTGGTCCAGTTCGTAGAGTTTCTGAATTAATAATAACCTAAAATCTCAATGGGAAGGAATAACTTTAAGTGCACACATAGGCAACGTTTTTGTGCAGCTTTCACATCCTCGAGAAACCTACAATAGAACTGTTCACAATCTATTACCTTACAGACTTAATTTATCTTCAAAGCATTTCCGCAATAGCGGGAGTTCGTCCAAGTATCCTTAGGTCTAATAAATTCCACAATAAAATTAAGCACGGGAAATTCCACAATAAAATCTAACTACTAAACACATAAAATATTAGTTAGATTTTATGTTAGAATAATATATGCCGACAAATATTAGAGAATTGTGAATATTTCGTGTATGTAAATAAACTTTTAGAATAGATTTACATTTACTTTTAAATTTATGGCTAATAAATTCATATGATGTTTTAATACTATAGAATTGTCGAATGGAGGATGGCCAAATTAGTGATGATGGTATTCCATTTGAAGGGAAGGGGTTTCAGACAGACAATGATGCATACAACTACTACAATGCATATGCAAAGAAGATTGGGTTTGGAATTCGCAAAGATACTTTTGAAAAATCAAAGAAAGCTTCAAGAGAGATTCTTTCCAGGACTTTTGTTTGCGATAAAGCAGGCAGAAAGAGAGCATCGACTGAAAATGCAAGTGGATTGACTATCAATCGTCGTCCAGAAACTAAAGTTGGTTGTGGTGCAAAAATGAAGATTAGGCTTATTTCTTCAAAAGCTTGGAAGGTTACTAAGTTCATTTCTGAGCATGTTCATCCTTTAACAAGCCCTGATAAAGTAATGCATCATCATTCTCATAAGCAGCGACATCGGTCGAAGCATTGCATTAGCCTCATTGAGTTGTTGCATGAAGAGGGAATGAAACCATCTACTATTAAAAAGGTGCTTAATGTTGGATATCAAGGACAAGATGCTGAACAAGTCACAACACAACAGATGATTGATCATATCAGAAAGACAAGGCAAAGTAACATTGGCTGTGAATGTTTAAACATCATTAGACATTTCCAAGATAGAAAGGAATCAGATCCAGATTTCTATTTTGCTATGGAGGTCGATCACTTTGGCACACTGAGAAGTGTGTTTTGGGCCGATGGTAGAGCTAGAGCCTCTTATTTAAGTCTTGGAGATGTGGTTGTGTTTGATACCACATACAAGACTAATCAGTTGAGTATGCCTTTTTCTCCATTTACAGGAGTAAACCACCACCGCCAATCCACCCTCTTCGGTTGTGCATTGCTTGCAGACGAGCGAGAGGAAACCTTCGAGTGGTTGTTTTCGCAATGGCTCAAGTGTATGCATGGGATTGCACCAAAAGCTATCATAACTGATCAGGATGCACAGATGAAAAAAGCTATTAAGAGCATTTTGCCAAATACTCGTCATCGCTTTTGTTATTGGCATGTTAGAAAGCATATTGCCGAGCAAAGTAAAGTTGAAGAGCCAATACGGGGATGAGATGCCTACATATTTCAACAATTGGTATTCTGCTAAAAGTATAAGCAAATGTGAAGAGCGTTGGGAAGTCATGAAGGTTAAATTCAACATAAATGAAGGTGAAGATAGTTGGCTGACAAGAATGTATAGCTTACGTGAACATTGGGTAGATGCGTACTTGAAGGACTGTTTTTGGGCGGGAATGACAACAAGCCAAAGGAGTGAAAGCATCAATGCCTTTTTTGATGGCTTTGTCAATGCAAATACCAGACTAGTTGAGTTCGTGGTTCAATATGACAAGGCAGTAACATCTCGTCGTGCATCAGAATCTCATGAAGACTTCATGACTTTGAACACCGTGCCTACTATGAGCTTCTCGAATCCGATTGAAGAGCAAGTTGGAAATACATACACTAGGGCGATCTTGAAGATGTTCCAAAGGGAGCTTGGTGATGTGATGTCATTACATCGTGAAGAAGTGTCGAAGGATGAGTTAAAAGTTGTATACTTGGTTGGTAAATATTTTGAAAACAAAGAGAATTGGGAAGAAGTAACTTATGAAATAAATAGTGAGCTTAACGTTGCATGCACTTGTTCATTTTGGGAAACCGAAGGGGTGCTTTGTAAGCATATTTTAAATATATTGTGGCTAAACCAAGTGACTTCTATTCCTGAAAGGTATATCTTGCCTAGATGGAAAATTGATGCAAGGTATAGATATTTTGGCTTTGTTAATGCTATAAAGTTGCAACAAAATAATGATAGCATGGAGCGGGGAAGTATTATCAGATTATGGGCTTTAAGAGGAAATTTTAATGAAGCACTTGATATGGCAGCGGGCTCGAAGGATCTTCTCTCTAAGTTGGAGCAGCAAATATCAAACTTCCTTGAAGAAGCAAGGGAGGAAGCAAGGTGTAATATGACACAAACTCTAGATTCTCAAGTTGAGAGCCATGTAAATTCAAATACTCATGTGCTTATATTGAAAGATGGTGAGGAAATTATGGTTCGTGATCCCCTCGGTCCTATGAAACCAAAGGGACGTCCGAAAAATTCAACTAGGACTAAAAGTGGCTTTGAAGAATCGGAAAGGCAAAAGGAGGTGAGACAACGAAAATGTGGTCATTGTCAACAATTAGGCCACTATAGGACGGGTTGTCAATTGTTGGTAAGTTCAATTTAGTTCATTTGTTTTATATATTTTTCATATTTTGTTTTACTATTCTTAAAATATCACTAATTGATTTCTTTTTGTCTTTCATTTTTAGAAAAAGCAAAAGAGATAGTTGCGAGATGGTTTATCAATGCAAGTATTTTGGAGCTCAAGAACAATGTGGTGGTAAATGATGTGGTTGTTTATTGACCAATTTTGTTGTTTATTGTCTAATTTGGTTGTATGAGCTTATTATTGTAAGGACTTATTGACTAATTGTGATTGTATAAAAGTATTTGTATGTTGTGGTTGTATGGACTAATTAGTTGGATTATGTACTATTTTAATTATTGGAGTTATCGAGCTTTCGTATCTTTGCTCTAATTCTTGTTCATTACGGGTTTTGTTTTGGATTTAGTATGAAATAAATGCTACTGAACTTAAGTGTTGATAAAATTGTTGCATGAAAGTGTCCTTCCATGCTCTCATATTCCGTTGCATGAAAATGTTCTTTCAAATTTGTTTGACCAAAAAAATAACGAGAAAGTTAAATAGAGTTAACTTGATTGTACTATGGTATTTATTTTTTCATTTATTACGAAAAGATGAAAGGGCAGGAAGAATGATTAGCTAATTACGAATTAATTAGAATATAAAGAGGTTTAAGGAAGAGACCGTCACAATATTCATCTTAGTTATCTGCATGTATGTGGTTTGACGTGCTCACAATATTTTTTAGCGCTTATATAAAGAGGTTTAAGGAAGAGACCACGCCTCGGTGACTGTGACCCCGTAGAGACCCTGCCGTCGCGCCACTTCTCGGAGACCGTTACAATATTCATCTTAGTTATCTGCACGTATGTGGTTTCATATGCTCACAATAATTTTTAGCGCTTATGACAATCTCAATTTATTGGAACCCCTCAGCACACAATATTTTTTTCTCTTTTATTTTGTTTCTTTGTGGTTCTTTTTTCCTTTCAAATTTGTTTGACTAAAAAAAGAACGAGAAAGTTAAATGGAGTTAACTTGATTGTACTATGGTAATTTTTTCCATTTATTACGAAAAGATGAAAGGGGAGATTTGATCACTGTGGACCCCACCAATTAGCGTAATCACTGTGGACGAATGATTAGCGTAATCAATTAGGATAGATTTTGTGAGAGAGCTATCTCTGTGGACCCCACCAATTAGCCTAATCAATTAGGATAGATCACGGGGAGATTTGAGAGGGGAGTCTTGAGAGAGAGAATACGAGAGAGAGACATGACATATCTTTAAAAGTGTGGTGTTTTATGAAAAATTACATCAACCATTTAGATGTGGGGACAAGATCGTGCCACCTCACTACCAAGTTAAATGGAGAAACTTGGTACCAAGTTTCTCCATTTTTCTCATATATATATATATATATAATAATTTCGGGTACTTAAAAATTAAACTAATTGCAGAGTAATTATCTACAAATAAAAACGTACATGTTGTGCTAATATAACAATTGATACGAAATAGTCGAAATATACATATATTGTACAATTAAACGAGAATAATTAATAATAAAAATATATTTACTTACATTTAAAATCAAATAATTATAAGATAATTATATACACAATAAAACGTACTAGTTATACTAATACGATAAATAATATGTAACAGTAGAAATAATACAACAAATTATACCAAAAATATGTAATTAATAATACCATGTATTATATGAAATAATACGTAATAATATTAATAATACAACATATTATTTATAATACCATGTATTATATGAAATAATACGTAATAATATTAATAATACAACATATTATTTAAAATAATACGTAATAGTAAATATTAATAATACAACATATTATTTAAAATAATACGTAATAGTACCGATAACACAACAAATTAATTTTAGAAATTTTTACCGCACAAAATAAATTTATAGATATTAAAATCATTTATATAAATATAAAATTTAGATTTTTAAATCATAAAAAATTATAGAAAATCGAGAAAAATACAAATACTCTTTTAAAAATAATAATTGAATATTTTAAAATATTAAAAAATTATTTTAACTAGTATCAAAAATTCACAGTACAGAAGGGAGGAAGATAGGGGGTGGACGTATGATGTTAGGCCCAAAGGAGATTAAGAGGAGTAGAAAAGAAATTATGAGGACGAGTTTGAGGATGGTGAGGAGGTGATGGGCCTAGATGGAGGGAAGTGACAAGGTAGTATGGGGTGGACGAGAGAGGACGTAGGGGAGGGGATACAGAGATATGAAGTCATAGGGGAGAGGAGGGGGAGAGAAAAAAGAGAGGAGAGGTGCGAGCTTTGTTGGCCAATGGATATCGGTTGGGGTGGTGGGGTGGGGGGGGTGGCATAAAAGCAGAGCGGCAGGGAGATGATTGATGCAGGGGCTGGGGTGGGGCGCAGGGGGGGATGAGAGAAGGAGATGATGATTGAGAGGGAAGGGGGGGACCGACATGCCGGTATTTAATTAGGGGTTAGTGGAAAATAAAAAGTATTGCTTAGGTGGCACTAGATTTAGAGGTTAGAAGCAAAAAAAGAGTTGATTTTGAGGGATTTTGACTTATTGACTAAGTCTTGTGGGTGAGGTGAACTTACTTTTTGATTTTGGGGTTCCTTTTAACTTTCATATCCTAAAGTTTGGGCATCAATGTGTTAAAAACAAAACCTTGGGATATCAAAGTGCAAAAGGTATAAAATTTCTCATAACAAAAGTGTTAGAAAAAACTTTAAGGTATCAAAGTTAAAAATATAAACTTTAGGATATCAAAATGTCAAAAAGTTTTGGGTATTAAAGTTAAAAAGGAGTAAACTTTAGAAGACCAAAGTGAAAATAAACACTTTTAAGAAGATGAGTTTTAAAATAGAAATCAAAACTAAGGGATATTTTGATCACTAAGAGCAGCTCCAACAGCTTCCCCATCTTCTTGAAATACTCAATTTTGGGGAATATAGAGCTTTTTTTTGGTCCAACAGATTCCCCATCTCATTCCCCAAAATAGAAAAGGAGGAGAAAAAATAGGGAGTCTTCCCCAAATCTGTAGCATTCTCCAAATTTTTGGGGAGAGCTTTATTATTGTAATAAATGCGATTTTTCAAAATGGAGAAGCTGTTGGAGTTGGAGCAAAAATAATTTGGAGAATATGACTTTTGTTTCTCCATTTTGGAGAAAATTTTGGGGAAGCTGTTGGAGATGCTCTAAGGGACCAAATTTCAAGACCCCTAAGGTATGAGAAATTATTGAGATTTGAGGGACTAATATGAAATTATTAAAGATTTGATGGACTGATATCTAAATAACCCTTACAAGATTATATAGGTAAAGATATATGGGTTAGACGGGTCAATTTGGATTGACCCCCTTTAATAAATGGGTAGCTCGGGTCGATATGTATATTATCCGAACCCATATATCTCGACCCGTGCCTATGAATAACGGGTTGGGTCGGGTTGATGGGTCAGGTTGAAGATTGCTGCACCCTAGTCTTGATCCTGTTTAGTTTTTGAGCGATTTAACCAATTTCAAGGTAAAAAATTAGCCTAACAAAATTAGTAGAACTTGGTAAGCTACTAGCCAAAGTCAGAGTTGGACTATGTTTAGCAGCCACTCAAAAATGGATCAAGTTTAGTCTTGATTAGTTATTAACCAAATTTGACTTTTGTTTTGACGCAATTTAGTCGTAGTGCGTGATGTCGAAGCCCTGCCATCAAAATTAGCATGAGCTCCTTCAAGGTTCTCACTGCTCATACCCTATAATTCCAACTCCTTCCCAATATGGAGGAGCTAGGTTTGATTGCAAGTTGAGCTATGATTGTATTAATGAAAAACAAGGGTCATCTTAGGATTAATAAAAATATCGTATGCATACAATTTTTTTTGATGGGGACAAGGAGGAATTAATAAGAGAACTAAGTCAAGGGGGTAAAAGCTTTTGATTTTTTTTGTTGGGGTGAGATATTTTGTTTTTTAAAACCTAGGGTGTGGACGCCATTTTCCCTTAATTCAATTATCAATAATTTTTTGGGAAGGGGGGTTGGGGTTGGGGTTGGGGTGGGGTGG